TCAATTTTATGCTGAACTTCAACGCATGAAGTTATGTTTTTTTATCTCCACAAATTTATTTTCACTATATTTTATCAGTTTGATTAAAATTCTCTATGCTTGTAATCTAAGTTATTTGTACTATTATGTAAACTTTTTGCAATCCGTAAACAAATACAAACAAGCTAGCTACATTTTTTAGCGTATTTATTAAAATATAGAGTGAGTTTACCGACATCAAGGTTAATCAATTAATTTCAATACAAAATAGCATTTTTTTTACACCTTTTTTTATTTTTGCATAAATTTTTAAAAATATCTTACTATACTAAAGCAATTTAGCCAAAATATTATTCGCTTGAACTCCGTTATAAACCCATTAGTTGGGCTCTATTTAGAGTCAAGTTCAAATGCAACCAGAAGTTTTTTTTTTGTACCTTAAATTTACACCAACTAATCTGTTAGAAACAAACAAAATATGATTATTCTAAACAATTGTCCGAATTCATCAATCATTTCTTTCAATGGTGATAGGTCTGAATTTTATTTTATTTTCTTTATTTATTTTACTTTTTTTATCGAAAAAAAAATCATTTTTTTACCACTTGTGTAAAAAAAAGCGAAGTAAAAATAGAAAAGATCGATATGGAAAAATGGGAAATTTTTTCTAAACTTACCTGTAAAAAAAACTAAAATATTTTCACAGGTGATTAACTAATCGCAGATAGGATAAAATAAGCATACAGCTTTATTGAGCAAAATTACAAACTTGACTTTCTACTTATTTTTTATTGGTATGCTCTATTGTGTGGTTGTACGTGATTGTGATATTTATGCTGATTAATTAAGGAAAGTAAAATATGTATTTTAGACTTTTTGAGTAAATTGTTATCTAATAAAACCATTATTATTTTCTAAACACGTTAAGTAAATAATAATGTTAAAGAAGTTATTAATATTAATATTAGTAACTTATAAATATTAAAATAATAATATAAAAGTAGTTTATATTCAGTAAATTTAGTCTATAAAAATCCAAGGGTTTGTACTTGATACTTTAGTTATAACATTTTAAGACTTTCTTTACGTTTTTTTCACAAATACACAGTGGGCCACAATTCACTTTTACCGGACAAAACTAATATCTCCTCATATAAAAAAGATTTAAGGACCATTTTTGCACTAATTTGAAGATTGCTTTTTCAATGATGACATTAGTTTTAATTTTGGGTTGCTATGGATACCTAAATTGCATAGCAACCACATTTTTTTATTAACCATGATAAAGATAAACTGGACTAAAGTAATAACTTTATCGGATTACTTCGATAATTACCGCATACAGTATTATTATACTACAAGTATAATGGTACTAAGGATATTTATTTGGTCGATCGTGATACCTGAAATACCTGACAACGGTTTTTTTTGCATTGTTAATAGATTAAACTTCTTAAAATATCAAAGTTATAAACAAGACTTATATTAATGTGGCATTCTAATTAAATTATGCATTTAAAAAATGAAAAACATATCAAATTACTAATTTTGAGTATTTTTATGCAATTCTAGGGCTCTTTTTTATTTTATAAAACTACTACATAATCTATATAAAAAAGAACCTAAAGAACCTTTTTGTGTATATAATAACATAAAAATCTGGTTTAAAATTATTTTTCATACCAAAACTCATATATTCTGATAATTGTAAAGCAGCTTTAGCTTCTTTTTCTTTACCATCTTGGCGCAAACTACAATCCGATGCACACAATATTTCAGAAGATGAAAAAGATGCAACTGGAACTAAACTTCTTTTCTTTAGCCACAATCTTCTTTTCTTTGTTTTATTACTTGAAGAATCATAATTCACCTGGGGTCTGTCAGACACTACAGTTTAATAAGACCAGATAGTGTTGTTACGACTATTAAATAAGAGCAGATAGTGTTGTTACGACAAATAGTTCGACTGTCGGCTAAATTGACTAATGTATTTTTTAAAGTCGAATAAAAGTCGATTTAGTCGTAATGTGGGAACATTTTGTCCTTCTGAAATAAATTGTAATAAAATTAAAAAAGTAATTTATAATAGTTTTCTATATTTTAATATCATACCATTCAAATAATAATAGAGCAAAATAATATAAGGAAAAAGGGCCGTTCCGATAACCGAACAATCTATTCCCAGACCTCAATAATTTAGGGACCGTCATAAATACTTGCTACAATCATATATTATAGTCATTAGATGCCTAATTTTGATCCAAGAAGTGAAGCCGCTTTTGTTTTAATTAGAAATGGCTTGCACAACATTAAGTATATACTATTTTGCCCTTTTAACAAAATTTAAAAATAATAAAATTATTATTATTATTTTTAAATTTTAAAAATAATAATAATAATTTATTAAATTATTATTATTATTAAAAGAGAGGTTTTAAAATTAACATCTATTTTATGCTATTATATTATATATAATAGCACAAAAAATATTTTCATATTAAAAAAAAAAGCTTTTTATTGTACAGCTTAGAAGCTACGTCATGATAATTATACAAACATATATACATTTTATAAAAGCTGAATGCTTAAGCTATAAATTGGTATATAATAATTAAATTTTTGAAATTTTTTTATTTACTTTTTTCCACCACCTGGCCCTCTGAGACATGGTAAAAAAAAAACCTTTTTTTTTCATAGTCTTCAAAAACAAGCTTCAAAAATTAGCCATATAAGCTTTTAAATAAATTAAAAAGTGCGTGAAATGTTTTGTTTGTTTCTGACAGATTAGTGGGTGTAGATTTAAGGTATGAAAAAAAGTGATTGGGTGTTTTATACTAACTATGGAAACTGAAATATGGATTTGAGACTTTTTACGTAAATTACTACCTACAAAAACTATTATTATTTACTAAGCGCGTGTGGTTTTACAAACCTTTTGTAATTTTAAATTTTATCTTTTTAATCAATTTAGCTTGATATTCTCTGTTATTAGTCAATCTATAGAAAAAAGAATTTTTAAAAGCTATATTATATATAATAATTGAAAAAAAAAAAGAGAATATATAAACTAAAAAGCAGTATTTTTCAATTGGTCGCTTTTCTTTTTTAAACATAAAAAAAAGAGTTTTGAAGTCTTTTTGGGATTTACATTTGATAAAAAATCAAATTTTATATATATATCTTTTTTCTATAAACAAAATATTGCTTAATAAAAAAAATATTCTTTCTATAATCAAAATATCTCTTATATCACCAAAATAATCCTTAAACAATCACAGTATTCATCAGAGGAAAATACACCTTATGTAACCATAATAATCCTTCTATAACCAAAATAATCCTTCTATAACCAAAATAATCCTTCTATAACCAAAATAATCCTTCTATAACCAAAATAATCCTTCTATAACAGAAATAATTCTTATATAACCAAAATAATCATTCTATAACCGAATTAATTCTTAATAATAATCTTTCCATAATCGACATAACTTTCTTTAACAAAAAAAACATATCAGCAAATGCGAGCTTAATAATAAGAATTAAAATTTTTTTATAAAAAGTATTTTAAATAATTATAACAATTGTCATACTTCTGATTTTTTAAGTAAATCTTCATTTAATATTTTTAAGTAAATCTTCATTTAATATTTTTAAGTAAATCTTCATTTAATATTTTTAAGTAAATCTTCATTTAATATTTTTAAGTAAATCTTCATTTAATATTTTTAAGTAAATCTTCATTTAATATTTTTAAGTAAATCTTCATTTAATTTTTTAAGTAAATCTTCATTTAATTTTTTAAACAAAATAGTTAAAAGTCAAAAGCTGATCTACTATTTTCCCGCTGTTTACAAAATGGCAAACGGAAGTTCAAATTAAGAAGAGTAAACAAAGTTGAATAAAAGAATAATGCTAAACTTCCAGAGTTTTTTAATAAACAAAAAAAAGTTACCAGATCAACGCTGAGAGACTTCACTATCTGACGATGTCCCTAAAAAGGGGGTTATGGGTTTTATATTCTTTGAACCGCTGTCTGTTATTTTCTTTATTTTACAACAATCATTATAAAATTTTTGTTTATTTTGTATGAAAAAACATTGCGAAGTGACAAGATTTTACATTTGTCTTTGTGCACCAGCCACCAATTTTTTCTATATATTTTGTATTTAATTTATGATTGCATTTATTTTTAAATATATTGAATTTAATACATTATTTGGAATGTTAAAATTATTTTACAACTGATACATAAGTTTGTAAGACGTTCTCATAAGCTGATACAAAAGATCGTAAGACATTCGTAGGAAGTCTTTGAACCTTGTTGTTTTATTATGGTTATATCGTTAAAAAATTAGTCAAATACAAAATGAATTACAAATTAGTTATAACGTTGAATGCACGTTAAAAGCTAGTATGCAGCATTCAAACTTTGAATATGCATTCAAGCTATTCCTACCTAAAACTGTTAGACTAAAATAAAAATAGATACACTAACCAAGCTAAAACTGCACGTGTAGAAAATAAACCAACGGAGAAGATTTAGTTACTGCATTGTTAATTTTAGGTTGTTAGAAATTGTATTTAATTCAAGTCCAGCGATTCTAAAGAAAGTAAAACTTACCCGACTGAATTGTGTCAAATATCCGACTATATTTGTCAAAAAATCAACTATAAAGTAAAAAACACCATCTTTAAGTGTTCCCCCCACCCACCCACACGCACACACCTTTCCTCGCCTTTGGTTGTATTGTCAATTTTTATTTATTTTAAAGTTATATATATATATATATATATATATATATATATATATATATATATATATATATATATATATATATATATATATATATATATATATATATATATATATATATATATATATATATGTGTGTGTGTGTGTGTATATTATGTGGTGAACTTAAAAGAAAAAAAGACGACGTTGCGAAAAATAAGCTATTATGTTTGCAGAAACCACGTGGTTTGGGAGTACTTAAAACTGTTTGCTTTACCATCTATAAAATAAAGATTTATTTAAAGAGAAACGAGACATTTATGCTTTTAAAAACCTACCTTTAGAAAAAAAAAAGAAAAAATTATGAATTTAGCATTAAACGATGTGTTAATTTAAGTGATTTTGTTGTTCAGAAGCCAACTATATATGATAAAACTTGTCAGGTTCATTGAAATTTTTTACAGTTGTTAACGTTTTTATTTCGATTATAAGTTATAAAGATTTTTTATATGGCGAAATTATATAATCAGTTTGAAAATTATTATATGTATTTTAAGATAACGGATTTATAATGTTTATACTAAATAGATAAAAAGTTTTAATTAATTGTGCCATTAAGTTTATACTTAAAAAAGTAATAAGTTATTTAATCTATTGAGTTGCATTTATTATTTATTGATGGATAATTTGATTTTTAGTAGAAAGACCAACTAAACAGCTATTGATTTTATAAAAAGTTTACAATTGCAAAGACTAAACAAATAAAACAATCGTGTAAGTATCACTTCAACATGTCGTTTAATATTCAATTATTATTTTTTACTTGTTTAGTTATTTTTTTCATATAATTTCTTAGAGCCAACATAAAAAAATTATAGAACATTTTAAACCTTTTAAAGTTTTCTCTCAGATTTAAATTCAATTTATACATTCGTTGAAACTTATGTCCCCGAATTTAAAGAAACAAAATTTTGCGCCAAATTATTAATGCGACAATAGTTCTGATGCATTTTAACAAATAATTAAAACATTTCTGGTAATTATCAAACATAAACTTATAAATAATGCAATATTTGAGAAAGATTACTTTATTTTTAGGATTTGTATTAACTTTTTAATTCCGATATACCAGACAATTCTAGATGCTCTTAGACATTAAAAGAGGTCTAGACTCTAAGTTATTAGTAGTGATGACCGGTGAAGTAATTTAACCAACTTAAGGTTAAATTACTTCACTTAATTGTTGCTCAGTTCTACATGAAATTGTCTTTTGATTCGTAAAAGTGATTACATTAAGACGATGTTTGGATTATTAAATACAAAACTTTGCATATACAATACTATTTGGATTACTATAATAAATTAAATGAAATAAAAGTTAAAAATCTCTGATAAGTGTCTATTCAAATAATTGAAAGAAATATAAACGTTTTTTCTTCTTTAATAGTTTTAGTTTTCTATGAAAGTTTTTGATGTTTTATTTCATAGTTTAATAGTTTTTTTCGATTTTAGTTTTGATGTTTTACAAAAGTTTTAACTTTTCTTTCTAATGTTTTCAATGTTTTTTTGTGAAGAAAACACTGAAACTGTTGAAATAAACATTTCTCATTAGTATTTGTGAAGAAAACACTGAAACTGTTGAAATAAACATTTCTCATTAGTATTTGTGAAGAAAACACTGAAACTGTTGAAATAAACATTTCTCATTAGTATTTGTGAAGAAAACACTGAAACTGTTGAAATAAACATTTCTCATTAGTATTTGTGAAGAAAACACTGAAACTGTTGAAATAAACATTTCTCATTAGTATTTGTGAAGAAAACACTGAAACTGTTGAAATAAACATTTCTCATTAGTATTTGTGAAGAAAACACTGAAACTGTTGAAATAAACATTTCTCATTAGTATTTGTGAAGAAAACACTGAAACTGTTGAAATAAACATTTCTCATTAGTATTTGTGAAGAAAACACTGAAACTGTTGAAATAAACATTTCTCATTAGTATTTGCAGTACTAAAGAACTAATTTTATTCTAAATGACTTTGCAATGTAAAAAAAAATTAAGGAACAATATGAATTACCGTATTTTTAAAATTACACATTCAGATTTAATATAATAACTTATCAATTTAAAAAATTGAGAATAAACAATTGTTTTAACAAAAAATAAGCTTCATAAATTTTGATAAACATAATAGGATAGACCGAAGCACTTTGACTATTGGAATAAGTTGGACCAGGTTTTTTAATTATTTCGTTACATTAGTTACAAAAACTTTTTTTTTTTAATGTTCAAAAAGATGCAAAACATAGATAAATCAATATTTGTTTTTTTTTTCATAAAAATGTTCAAAGGTGCAAAACATAGATGAATCGATATTTGTTTTTTAAGTATTATGAAGGCATTGAACATGAATATTAAAAAAATATGGATAATAATATTTGGTCATATTTAAGTTTAAGAATTATGTACTCATTTATATTTTAATTAAAATTATATATATATCTAAATGAAAATACTATATAAATTTACATAACTTTTGTATTTTGATTAATGCAAATTAAGTTTTAGGTACTTATTTACATATTTTAGAAACTTTCACCGACCCAAATGTAAATATTATGTAAATTTACATAAAATTTATATTTGGATTTATGCAAGTATAAGTATTATATAAATTTTACTTATTGATTGAATTTACATATATAAGTATAACATTTTATACATAATACACTTACTTTACATACTAAGCACTTAAGTTTTTATACATAACAACTAAATATTCTTTTTCCAGCCTAACCCATTAACAGGGTACGTTGGCCGACACTTCATAACAAAAATAGTTATTAATGCATTAAAAACTAACTATGAACTTTTAATAATATTTTTTTTTTAAATAGTCTAGGATCACATTAACCTTTTTCCAAGAAAAACATGAATGCTAAATAGTAACACTACAAATAAAATAAGTAAGCCAACGTTTGAATGAAGTTTTTATATATATTTTTTAAGCCCAGTCATAGGGGCTAGTTTGAACAGGCAATAGGGTTAGTTAAAAATATAAAATACTGCATCCTTACTAATTCACTTTTACTAACTGACTACTATATATAATTAGTAGTACTAATAATTACAATTGCACTATATATATAATTACTATATAATTAGTCAAAACTTTTATCAAATTTTTTTCTTCAACAATTTGTTTCTTAAGGAAACTTACTGATGAATCTACTAATAGTAGGTTCATCAGTAAGTTTCCTGATATATATATATATATATATATATATATATATATATATATATATATATATATATATATATATATATATATATATATATATATATATATATGTATATATATATATATATATATATATATATATATATATATATGTATATATATATATATATATATATATATATATATATATATATATATATATATATACATACATATATATATATATATATATATATATATATATATATATATATATATATATATATATATATATATATATATATATATATACATATATATATATATATATATATATATATATATATATATATATATATATATATATATATATATATATAGAGAGAGAGAGAGAGAGAGAGAGAGAGAGAGAGAGAGAGAAAGAGAAAGAGAGAGAAAGAGAGTAAAATGGGGTCAAATGAAATAGTTAAGGTTTTTAATTATTAATTTTTTACGGAAAAAAAGACTTTTCTTTTTTTTTTTTTTTTAAAGTTGTAGAGAGTATTAAGCTGTATTTAAATATATAAAATTTTAACAATTTTTTGTAAAGTTTTTTATGAAACTTTATTTGATTAAAATTTTTTTTATTCCATTCTACATTGACATTCGGGGAAAATGAAATACGCAAATATAAGTGTAATTAAAACAACACTTCATTAAAAAAACAAAAAAGCAATCAATAATAACAATTAAAGAAACAATAAATAATAACAATTAAAAAAATCAATAAAATAAAATAAACTTATTTATTCGTGTGATGATGTTAAGCCATTTAGAGGTACTAGAGGTTGAGTTGAGTTTATTGTGCGGCACCTTTTGTAGCAATAAAACTCAGCGCCTTTTACGTATTGCTTTGGTATGCATGTTTGACATGCAATTGTTACAATTTGAATTTTCACACTGGTACCATTCCATAATTTGATTTGCTGAAGTTTCGCCCAAAACCTTTTGGCACTTATTATACTTAAATTGGTTTGCAGCTAATATTTTCGTTAGACTTGTTGCTTGGTTTATTTGCTGTTCTCCATTAGAGCTAAACTTAGGTTGTTTTTTTAGCTTGCTTTGGTGCTTTTTTACTCTCAGTATCTTTCAAGCTTTCAAGTATTTCAGGTTTGTTGAGACTCCCCTTCGAATTTTGGCACATCTATATTTTTTCTTTTTTGTGTGTCAACGTATTGGATACGAAACATTGGTTGCAACGCTGATCCAAGTGATTGGGCTGATTGCAGTTATTTTGCAACCTCTTTTTGAATTTCCTTTTGAATAGCCGGTGTTACTACAATATTGAAGGTTATTTGCAGACAAGGTGACTTTTGAGATGACTTTGGAGCTGATGCTATGTGACATATGCTAATGCTAGATGTTGTTGGTGTAGATTCAGAGGACAGTGGCTGAGGTAGTGTAGTTCCTGGTGCTAGATTTGGTGATAGCACTATCATAGAATCTGGTTGTTGAGATGATGAAGGCTCAGGTTCAGATCTCTGTATTTCAAATGGGTTAGAAATTTGCAACTTTAACTGATCGATTTAATCGATGTTGAGTGGGAACAAGCAAGTATTCTGAAACCCAGTGACTATTTGGGTACGTGTAAAAACTTCACCAGAGCTGAAAGGTTTTTTTTGCAGATGACTGAAACATTCTTTTGATAAGTTGCTAAACTTTGTCTCAGCATAAAACTGTTGAAGTAATTTGTGCCAAACTCTTTTGACATGGCAATAAACATCTAGTGGCCGTAGAATGTGCGACGAGTGAGCTGTTAAGTCATTTAAATTCAGTTAGAAAAATTTGTTCATTGAAATTTATACAAAAAATTTATTATTAGAGATTTATTGGTCTCTTGAGACTTAATAAAAAAAAAGCTGCTTTTAAGAAATATTATAAAAAAAATACAAAGCTATTGCTTTGTGTTTTTATAAGTAAATTTATAACAAAATTTTTTATTTAAAAATGAAATTTTATACAATCTTACTAAGAAAAATTTTCTCTACAATATAATCAAAAAATATTTACAAAAATATTATTGAATAGTTAATTAAAAGCGAAAGAATAAACATTGTCATAACTATTTCGTTCTACGCGTTTAAAAATAAAAAAATCAATTAATAGAAATAAAAAAAGGAGAGAGAGAGAGAGATTAATGGTTATTTAGTCAATAAGCGTCACTCTGACATTATTAGTTTGTTTGTTCATATGTACACTATGAACACATGCCACTTAATGTCCAAACTTTTCTTAATTTTAAAGTCCCTTTTAGTAACAGCTTTATCTAGAATCGAACTGCAAAAATTACTAAATTTAGAAAAAGCATGTTTTATTTGAATGAAGGTATTTAAATAAATGGGAAGTTTTATTTCTTTTATATTTTTCGAATATTTTAGTTTTAAAATAACGAAATGTCTTGCCATTATAACAGGAGTTATATCCTGCACAAACAAAGTTATATTTATTTAGAAATTATTTATTTTAGGCTCAAGATTTTGGTACCCCCATTAAACTTGTATTTTCTTAAACACAAAGTTCTATAAAAAGCACTTTTGAAGAAAGACCACAAAAAATACTACTTAGATGTTATCAAAGTATTTTGTTATCTTTTATAATAAAACATTACAAACAATAATATAAAAATCACAAAAAGTTAATTTCAGTTGTACATTACAATTTTATATGTACAAATCTCTAAAGTCCTAAGCAAAAACTTAATTTTCACAATTTTTATTTGATCCAACAACAAAATTGTTTATATTAATAAACTGCTCGTTAGTTATTGTAAAGTTCATAGTTTCAACTAACCTAGGGTTCCAACTATTCCCGGTCTCCTCTACCTAACTACATTAAATGACTAAATAAAATTATAAACCCAAAAAAATTTTATATAGAAATACGGCTGTAAAAACCTGTTTATTTAAAAACGGCAGTAAAATTTACCCGTGACATCAATTTTAATTAAAAGATTTATCTAAATTGTATGTATATGTACCTATATGTATGTTTATGTACTTATATGTACCTATACATGTTCTTTTTATGTGTTCTTTTTAACTGGAGAATCTGTTGATATCTTCCTGTTTAGTTGCCTACTTTTAACATTACTTTTTAGAAAGAAAATGTAGGTAAAATTGTTAAACATAGTTAAACTATAGAAGTAACGTTTGCTGATCCGATTTTTGGATTCACGATCTGGATCCATTTTCTGGATCCACTTTTACTTATTGTTCGAACTTCAAGCAGAAACATGATTAAAAAGTTAACAAATCATAAATACTTTATTGCATTTAACAAACTTAAAATTTATTAACAAATTGCATAAACCAGGGGTTGGCAACCTTTTGTGATGGAAGAGCCAAAAGTTACAATTTACATAGTTTTTCAGCTTTTAAAGTACTACCAACATCTTTATTCAATATTATATTAATATTTATGCATGGAGTTAAAGTGTTGCACCTTGATATCTAAAGAACCACACGAGGCTTGCGGGCCCCGGCCCTACAGTGGTCAACAATAACCTGTTATACCAGGGTCCTCGTATAAATTTTTAAGTAATATAATGTAGACTATGTCTTGTATAAGTCATCTCTTGTATAAGTCTTTTTATTTGCACAGCAAGTTAACCAACAATAAAGTTAAAAAAATATTAGTGTCACTAGTAAACATCTCGTGTGTACTTATTTATTTCTGTATAAGTCAGGTCTTTTTAAAGCACAAAAGCTTTTTAATTTTTCTTTTGTAAGTTACTAAGTTTATTTTTTAAAAGTAAGGTTTATCGCATTAACTTGCCTTTCCTACCAACCCCTTCCCATTCTTGTCAACAAATGACAAAAAATTTCAGACCCCCTCCCCCTCTATTGTTTACGTAAATAATGGATAGCCCCTTTACAGAATACTAGTTTTTAACATAAGTACATTATAAAATCGAAAGGTTGAAATCTATTGTTTTTCTATATACAACTCTTATTCATCATAATTACAAACAATTTGTGTAACGGTACGAACTTTTTGTGTAACGGTATGAACTTTTTGTGTAACGGTATGAACTTTTTGTGTAACGGTATGAACCTTTTGTGTAACGGTATGAACTTTTAAACCTTTTTTGAGAGACTTTTTACACACATTGTCTTTTAATGATATATTTAACATTTGATGAGAATTGCCGTACAAAAATACAATTTTATAAATTATACAAATAAATAATATATTTGTGTATTTACGACTAGATACTTTAAATAGATATTTAAATGATACGATACCGAGCCTGTCGCTGACACCTAGCCTGTATTCAACACATGTCAAGACTTCTTCACCAAAGACAACATTCTTGAACTAATTACAAAAAAATAGAAGTGAAGGTCACGGAAGAATCACAAGCCAGATCTGCTCATTTAGACTCACCTACGAGGTTTTCACGGAAAATAAAACGAGGGGTATTTTGTTGAACATTTAGCAGGCAAGAGGATTGCTCAAAAGAAGATACTGGGAAGATATAAAAGCAGATTTTTGATGAGCGTTATGTCTTATTTTAGAAAAAATAATAATATATGGTATCTAGTAGTTATTGTTAAAATATGTTTGTGATTATTAATTAATAACGATATATATTTAATTAATAAAATATTACTAAGATATTTTAACAATTAGTTTTTATAATAAACAATATCTTTTTCCGAATAATTGTTTATAATATTTCGGCAATTTAAAAAAATTTATATTATTTTGATATTTCAAAAATTTTTTGTATTATTTTAACAAATATTTGTAGTGATGCGATTAATAAATCGCAAGTTCAAAACCAAAATGTTAAAAATACTTTCAACCTTAAACCCAAACCTCACAACCATCAAACCCACCTTATGTAAAGTTGTTATTTTGATAGCGCAAAGATAACGATAACGAAAATTTTTATCATGCGTATATTTTTTTCATCTACTTAAATAATAAATCATATTATAAAATTTCTAAAGTTTACAGTTTCTTTTTTTGAATGTTTTATAACTTTTTGATTAGAATTGAGATGATGCGTTGCAATATCTTTAAACATGAAAAATTTGCATACTTCAGCATATTATATTGTGTCAACTTATAAAATATCATCAAATAACTTATTAATTACATTTGCATATTTTAAACATAAAATGACAAAAAAAAATACAATTAAAAAAAAAGATTTTATAAGTAGAGCTGAATTGCCTTCAAAATAATATTACCTTTGTCTTATTTAAATAAACATTTTCCAGTACATTTTATTTTGCCTGTTTTTAATTCATATTTCTGCCTGAGTTTGATGCTTTATTATTGCCTATTATTATTATAGCTGATTGCTGTAAAGCTTTGTGTTCTTCTGCTTATACTAACATTTTCAGTTTGTTTTAAAATTTTTGTAAATATTTATAAAAAACAGTTTGATTTAGGTTATCCTAGTTTTGAAGGCGATAATGGTTCATACAAAATCTCTAAAAAGTATTAAAAATAACAAGTTACACTTAAAAATTATTGCTTGGGAGAATAGACACAAAGAGCTTGGAGATGAGCTTGGAAATGAAGCGTTCGGAAATGATCTTGGTCTAAAGAAGCTTGAAAGAAATCACTCAAACAACAAAGAAGAAAAGAAAAAGGCATCTGACGTTCATACATTGTCTAAAAATCCTGTAAAACTTTACAAAGCTTCAAATAATGGAAGCATCAAATTTAAAAATAACGAAAAGCATCTGGAACCTTCCGAACTTATTAAACAGAAAGAAACACACAAGAGTCGTTGTAAAGAATTTTTTTATAACGAATTATATAGACGTCCGATTTCTGAAACTTCTGACGACGTTTTTGAATGGAATGAAAATGATTCTGTTAAAAATAAAAATAAAAAAATAAATAACGATTCAGATAAACACCAAAAAACCGGTATAAAAGAAAATGGTTTTGTTAAATATCATAATATTGGAATTAAGGAATATGATTCTGTTAAGTATATTAATACTGGAATAAAAGTAAAGCCTTTAAATGTAGCTGAAAATGATAAATCTATACTAAAAACAGACACTTCAAAGTTATCTATGATGTCACATGCTAATAATTCGCATTTAGAGACCAAGTATTTTATCCCTGATAATATTTCAAGTGATTTTCTAATAGAAAATATGCATGCGGCAACAGTAAGTTGTAAAGAACGTAGAACTCGATCTCACACAGTAGACAATCATTCAGAATCTTCATCAACAAAAATAATAAAAAAGCCATTTTATTTCAAAAATCAATTTAGGTCCTCCTCTTATTCCGAATCAGATAGAAAAAGAATCAGCAGTAATGATCAAAATAAATGGAATATTTGTCAAGGTATTTTTTTTTATGTCTGTTTACCTTTTTTAAATTGTCAATAAAGATATGTATTTTTCAATCGTTTAATATTATTTTTATGCAAATAATAAACAAAACAAGGTAAAATTTAACAATGCTATACCATTGTTCAATAACTTACCATATATATGCATATATATATATATATGGTAAACCATATATATACCATATATATATATACCTTACCATATATATGTATATATATATGTTAGTTATTTAATTTATTATATATTTTTATCATTATTTTTTATTTATATTTATTTTGTTATTATTTTATTAATGTATGTATTTTTATTAATAATACCGCAACCATAATACGAGTTCAAGGAGTTAAGTTAGACACGGTGAATATGGATTATTTTTATAGTCTAGGCTGTATATCGCTACTATATATCGCAACTAATTTTATATTTAAAATTTGAAAAGATCCGATCGTTTTAGTATTTCTTTTTTAATGAAGTACTTGCGTTAAGTTGAATTCAATTCAAAAATTCAATGAATTGTTTTTTTTATTCGTACTAACAGTTATTTAATATTTTGTTTATAGAAACACGCTTTTATTGTCTATTTTTAAAATTTCCTTTCGAAAATATTTAAAAAAGCAAAAAGTACAGATGAAATTAGTTATATTAACAAAATAAAAATTAATTGTCCTTACAAAATATTATCAGACGACAATTAGTTATAATTTTAAAAGTTTATTTGAGGATGGAGCTATTAAAATTATTGAAAAATAATTACAAATTGCAATGTACCATTCAATTTAACTGAAGTCTCGATTTTTGGTTTGAAGCATGGCTTTTCAGAGTATTAAAGAATTTTTTATTTGCATACAAATTTGTTAATATACATAAAAATCATTAGAAAATTGTGACCATATATAGAAGTTAAAACTTTATATTTACTCAAATTGCATACCTAATCATACCTGGTTGTGTAATTTATATTTAGTTAACCTCTTTAGTTATATTAGTTCAATTTAAAAAGATAGTAGATTCAAATTTAGCGAGACAATAGTTTCAAGTATAGCGAGACAGTAGTTTCAAATGTAAGATGACATTAATTTAATATCGAAAATTTTTATATTTTTAATTGCTTATTTTTTTAATACTATAAAAAACTCGTGAAAAACTTTTAAAGTTATTTTTTTTTCTATTTATAATATATATATATATATATATATATATATATATATATATATATATATATATATATATATATATATATATATATATATATATATATATATATATATATATATATATATATATATATATATATATATATATATATATATATATATTTATACAGTGGTGGCCGAAAGTCTTGGAACAAAACATTTAACGACCAAAAAAATTTATTTTTAATCTAAAGTGTAAATTTTGAAGGTTTGACGCTTTTGTTTTTACATAGCAATATGTTTATAGTTACATATTTGTATATTGCGCAATTTATTATCGTTTTTTATTATTTATAAGCAATTTATCAGCTATATCATGCCAGAACTTTCACCTAAAAAAGAGAAATTATTGCTGCATTATATGAACAAGGTTTAGTTCAAAGAGAAATATCTGAGAAGCTTGGTTGTTTATTATCAACTGTAAGTAGAACTTTAAAAAGACATAAAGAAGAGCCCCAATTAAATTTTACTTCGAAGACGAGATCAGGCAGGCCCAGAGCAACCACCTCAAGAACTGACAAACTTATTGAACGGATCAGCCATGCAAATCCACGGCTATCTGCACACGAGATTTCAAAAGAAATTTTTATCGAGAAAAAAGTAAGTGACCGAACAGTTAGAAGAAGGCTTTTGGTTGATTTCAAAATAAAGGCATGCAAGCCAGCAAGAAAACCTTTGTTATCATTAAAAAACCTAAAAGATCAAAAAATATTTTGTCAGCGCTACAAAAATTGGACTAGAGAAAATTGGTTTAAAGTTCTTTTTTCTGATGAAACGTGTATTAAACAATTTAATGTTACAAACAACTTTGTAAGAAGACCAAAAAACTGTAGATATATGCCAAAATATACAGTTAGCAGTGTCAAGGCTCCTGTGTCTTGTATGGTTTGGGGTGCTATTTCTGCCAAAGGACGTGGGCCATTATGGATAATGCCCAAGAATACCACAATGAACAGCAAAGTCTATTTGGATGTTATGAAGGAGAAGTTGCCACCTTTCATGCAGATCTTGAACTGCACTTATTTCCAACAGGATGGTGCACCATGCCACACAGCCAAAATTGTAAAGAAGTGGTTTGCTGATGAAGGAATTCAAACCCTTGAAAATTGGCCTGGGTCATCACCAGATCTTAATGTTTTTGAAAATTGTTAGCATATTATGAAAGTAAAAGTTGCTGCCAAAAAGCCTAGATCCTATAATGCTTTAGTTAAAGCAAGCAAATCAGTGTGGATCCATGAAATTACACCAAACTATTGTACAAAACTTGTCAACAGCATACCAAAACGTATCCAAATGGTAATTGACAATAACTATGCTTCCATTAAATATTGAACTTTTATCATGTATATGCATGTACCTATCATCTTTAAAATTGTTATAAACACTTATTTTATTGAAAAAAAATAAAAAAATTTACTAATAAATTGTTTTTCACACAAATATATTGATTTCATAACATAAAATATGATGTTCCAGGACTTTTGGCCACCACTGTATATATATATATATATATATATATATATATATATATATATATATATATATATATATATATATATATATATATATATATATATATATATATATATATATATATATATATTCAAATAATATTTAAACGCAAAAGCAATCCAATATATTTAAAAACTTTAAAATATATGAATATATTTGTAGTATATCTAGTAGTATTTTTAGCTTTTTTATCAACAACCTATTAAAAAGCTTAAGTTATCCTAAGTCTTTTATGTCCTTGGAGATATATAAGTCTTTTATCTTTATGGAGATATCTTATTTTACTGCAAAATAGACCAGCTTTTTAAAATTTCCATCATTTTAGAAATAAATGTTGTAACAGTAGTCAAGGTTACTCAAGCTTTTAGTTCAATTAAAGAATGCATTGCCATATTAACGTTGCATTGCTAAGGAAAAATAATAATAGTTCTGAAACAAAAAATTTCGAATATATTGGTTAACGGAAATAATATAAAGAATTATGAAATGTTTATATTACAATATATGTCATACAATATTACAAAAATGTTATACTATATTATACGATTAATCCAGAAACGGTAAGTTTTGTTACAGAAAACTGTTTTCTAAGTTGGTCAAAAAAAGTATGAACGTATTATAAACAAGTCCTCATGATTAATAACTGCAAATTTCGTAGTTAACAAATGCAATGTGCGTGATTAACTAACATCTTTAAATGAAAAAACGCAGTAGCATGCTCATATGTCTTGGGAGTGGAAAAAAGCAAATATTGTTGCTCATAGTTTAAACATAAAATTAAGTCTTAAATTAAAATTAAATTCTGTAGTTGAAAGCCAATGTAAAGTATTAATTTGCTGACAACTCAAAATCAGTTACTTTATTTATTGGGAAACGTATATTTAAGAAACCACTTTTTTCAAAATAATCAAAAGCAAACAAAAAGCAAAAATTTGCATTAATATGGATTAGGCAAACACAATTGACAGAGTACCCAGTGAACTCCAGTGAAGCTATTGAACTTATTTGGCAAAGTAAACTAGCTTGTAGATTTCTAGTGTTGCTTTAATCACAGAACTTAACTGTTATTGGACGATGTAATTTAATCAACATCTTAAGTCAATCTTTTTGAGATATTTACCATGTGCTCGGTTGATTTTAAACGTTATCAAAAAGATATACACTAGTTTAAAATAAAAAAAACCACTTAAAATTTTACCGTCATTGTTTACATTAATGAAGTACCGTAGCTGGTTACGTTTTACGATCTTTATGTTTTGACCAAGAAAAAGAAACTTCAAAAATCAAGTAATCCTTTAAAATTTACAGTTCTTCTTACTGATTTTATATTGTTTGTTAAAAGAAATTTAACTAACAGGTTTAAGAAGAAGCTAAAAACACTATGAAAGTTAATTACTGTTTGTATAGAGAAAAAAGATAAAAGAGCTTTAACGTTGATGAATCCTATTAACCAATCCAGTTAATCCAATTTTAGCATTAACAAAAGAAATGCGTTAAATGTCGAGAATTGTTTTTTTTTTATCTTATGTGAATCAAAGTTCTTTGTTAACCTCTCTCTGATTGAAATGCAATACCGTATCTCAAATTATGAGTCACAGAAATAACGAATCAAAAGTATTGAGGAGATATTTGGAGTTTTTAACATTTTATTTGGACTTATGACAATAAAATAAATAAATTTAACACAAAAAAAAACATTTAAAAAAATCCATCCATAACCTAAATATAACGAAATACATTTAAAAAGACTAAATCTTCAATCTAAATGTTATAAAATTCATAATAAAGTAAATAAATCTTTAAAATTTCAAACAAAGTTCTAAATTTGTAGTAACTCTATAGAAAACGAAAAAAAATATAACAAAGTAATTTAAGACTATGTATTTATATTTTTATTACCAGAAAAACTATTTAAAGAATTTATATTGAATAATGCAAAAGAAACTCATACACTAAAAAGTATATATTAATGGAATTTAACATTATTACATTATTAAAGATTTTTATTTTAATTTGTTGAATAATTTAAAATAACTTGCGATTTCGTCGAAATTTTTACTAAACTTCGAATAAATTTAAAAAAATCAAAATGTAGATATAAAATATAATACACTCCTAATAATAAAAAAAAAATACAACTATGATAAAACCCTAACAAAAAAAATATTCTACACTTTTAATAATCCGTAACTATTGTTGTGCATAGCTAATAAAAAACTAGACGTTGAAACTTTTTGCAAAATTTTTAAGGTTGTTAAAAAATATACGTAGTTGTTCTTGTTTTGTTTTTTTTTGGTAAAAAGAGTCTTTTTTTTAAAGATTTTTAAGGTCCCTTTTATTCTTAGGCTTTTTTTTTAGGCGCTAGTTTTTCTATATGGGTAAAAGAGAATAAGTGAACGTGAAGAAAATAAGTGAAAGTGAAGAGAATAAGCGAAAGTGAAGAAAATAAGTGAAAGTGAAGAAAATAAGTGAAAGTGAAGAAAGTGATGCACTGAGAAAATCACTCTCACAATTGAAAAAACTTGCGTTCAAACAAAAGTTTGATCTTTTTTTTACACTAACAAATTATTGAGGACTGTAAACACAATAAAGTTAGAATGTTTTAAAATATTAAGTCACTTTGCAATTATTTTCGTTGTTATATGTTTTACATTTAGTTTTTATAATATTTGGTTAAAAGATTGACTAAAAAAAAAAGGTTACAGTAAAAGAATTGTTTTACAGAAAAAGATTAAGGTAAAAATAAACTATTAGATTGAAACCTGCATATATTAAAAGATATAAATATTACCCATGTTCAAAACAAAGCACAAACTTAAAAAGCTTATTCTGTTAAAGATTTAACAACGTTAATTCTAGGGCTCCATGTCTCCATGGCTCCATGTCTCCATGGCTCCATGTCTCCATGGCTACATGTCCCCATGGCTCCATGTCTCTAGAATTAACGTTGTGTTCAAAAAAACTATCTGTGAGATCAAACGTACATTTTAAAATTAAGATTGAGAACTATTAAGATTGATAGAACTCCACTGATGATTAAATATCACAATCACCACACGATTTTAAAGAATTAAGTTACACATTGTACAAACCTGTGGATTAATTTTTTCACTTAAAATCTAGAATCGCCACTATTTATTAACCAATATTGCATTTTGATCTATACTTAATTTAATATTAATGTTGTCTCTACTATAAAATTAACAAAATTCTCTAATCTCCTAATAATTAATCTCATCGAACAAAAAACAAAATCAAACTATGAAAACAGTTGTAATCTAAAATAATAGTAACGGACAACAATAGTAATCTGAAAAAACAAAAACGGACAGCAATAATAATCTAAGAAAACAGTAACCGAAGTAATAATCTAAAAAAACAGTAATGGAAGAAAGTAGTTTCTAATAAACCAGTAACGAAAGTTGTATTTAAAAAACAGTAACAACAATTATAATTTAAAAATACAGTAGTTAAAGTAGTATTTAGAAAAATAGTAACGGTTAACAGAAATAAATTAAGAAATCGGTATCGCAAAATAGTATTAATCAATAAAACAGTAATGCAAGTTGTAATCTAAGAAAACAAAAAGAAAAAACAGTTGTAATTTAAAAAAACAGTAACAGAAAACATTAGTTATGTAAAAAAACTGGAAAACAAAAGTAACCTAAGGAAACAGAAACTAAAAAAGAAATCTATGAAAAAAAAAACTATATTTAAAAAATATATATATTTTTTCTAATAATTTTCTTTTGAAACTGTAAGCTTACTACAATGGCGGATTAATAGGGGGGCAATGGGGACAATTGTCCCCCTCTCTTTTCCGTTGATATTTTGGAAATAATTTTTTTTTTTTGCAAATTTATATATTTAACATATATAAGTAAATTAAAAATGCTGTTTAAAGTTGATAAGAAATTTTAAAAAATTCGTGTAGTGCAAAAAAAAAAAAAATGGACAGTTGGGATACCAATATGACGTAATTGCATAGTTACGTAGATTAAAACTGTTAGACTAACATTCTTAAAGATTTTTTTTTTTTGAGTAAAAAGAGATGTTAATATAAAAAGACATCATGGTTTTGTTGTTAAACACTTCCAAAGAAATAAAAGACATCATGGTTTTGTTGTTAAACACTTCCAATGAAATAAAAAGACATCATGGTTTTGTTGTTAAACACTTCCAAAGAAATAAAAAGACATCATGGTTTTTTTGTTAAACACTTCCAATGAAATAAAAAACAATATATAGTATATAATAAAAAGACAATATATAGTATATAATAAAAAGACAATATATAATAAAAAGACAATATATAGACAATATATAAAGAAATAAATAGACAAAAAATATTTCGACTCGAAACTTTCTCGTTTTTTACGAGAAAGTTTCGAGTCGCTTTTTAACTCATAAATAGTTAAAGTAACTTAAATAGTTTAAGTGAAGAAGAAAGTCAGCGCACAACTCACCACAAGTCATTCACCACAGCTCCTTTATTTTATTCATCTTTACAAACTTATTGATATTTCAATTTAGAACAATGCAATTCAAACACTATATAAAATAATATAAATCACCAATCATAATATACTGCAGATTTGATCGATCATGGTGCACAGTGACTTAGGATGATCAAAAAACGGCAAAATCTCACTAAAATTTGATAAACTTAGATAAACATGTTATATGTTGACAAACTTAGATAAACATGTTGTATGTTGAAAAAATATTTTTTTAGGTCAAAGATTTCAAATTTGTTAATAAAAATACTATTTACGCGCAGTTTTAACGGGTACAATGCGTATGCGTATACGGGTTTATGCGCGCTTTTAGTTTTAAAGTTTTGCGAACTTCGAGCTAAAACAAATCGTTTTGATAATTACTCTACTTTATTAGATTTATTTCATTATTTACATAACAATCAATTTAATAACTTCATCTGGTAATGATTTTGTTCGATAATTATTACGTTTTCTAAAAGACATGCGTGATACTTTTAAATATGATCTTACTCGGAGACAGTGGGTAAGTTTCATAATAATGTTTAAACTCGATATTCTTGACGTGTGCTAAGTCTAGACTTTCATTATTTAACTGAAGTTATTTATTTAAACTCTCAGTGCATTTTCTGATTATACTCCATTTAGGCAATGTAGCTTATATGATATAGAAGGAATATGCCAGCATAATATACCAGTCGTAAAAGTTCATTATTAATAGTGAATTTTTGTGACTGGTATATTTTGCTTTTTACTACTGGTATATTAGGCTTATCTGTTGACATGCCTATTGCTAGTTTTGGCAATAGCAGTGATAGGAATACTGACAGAATAGCATTGAAAAATTATGAAGCTTTTTCTAAAGTAATAAAGTTGGTTATAATTAAAGATTGCATAAAATTCTCATAAATATTTCATGTGGATATCCTAATAGTATTAATAGTATCAATTTTTTTTAAGAAGCTAGTCGGTATTTTTTGAGGATTCACCCCCGCCCTCTAATTTTATTCGTAGAATTGCCTCTGAGTGCAGTGTCCAACTCATTGATACTATTAATACTATTAGGATATCCACATTAAATGCTTATGAAATTATTATGCAATTTTTAATTATAACCAACTTTATTACTTTAGAAAAAGCTTCATAATTTTTCAATGCTACTCTGACAGTATTCCCATCATATACTCATCGTACTCCGAAGAGTAACTGAATCCTTTGATTTTTTAAGTTTACAGATAACTTACTTTCAATTGCTTTTGTGTTATACTTTTTAATTCCCGTTTTATAGCTCAAATGAAAAGCAACCTCCAAGGACTTTCAGCAGTACAAAGTTGAAATTCTAAGCACCAAGACTTACTCATTTTTGTTTTTGCTTTTACTAAACAAATATTGTTAATTTCTTTGAGTTTTGCATTATAATTGCAGGATTGAATGGAATTTGTGTCTGTAGGTGCGTTAATCACTTTTTTATTAAACATTGTACTCAGTGTGGATGAATTCTAAAAAAGACGTCTTTTTAACGTTTAAAAGATGTCTAAAACGTTTAAAAGGCGCTCAAAGATGTTCAAAACGTTCAACTGACGTTTAAAAGACATCATTTAATAAGTCTTCTAACCACTGGTACGATCTATCCAATGGTTGGATTTAATATTTTAAAAGTCACCATTTTTCATGCCACATTCAAAACTCTGCAAAACGTCTTTAAAATTTCTTCTTATTGAACGCTTTTTTTAATATTATAGAGGAAGAGGTCTAAAAACGTAACAACTTGAAGGATATTAATTTTTTTAAAGTGTTAGCATCTCCTACGTTAAGCAATAAAGGTAAAATAGCTGAAAAAACTTTCTTCATGCAAAATAGAGCT